AGCTGGGCATACGCAATACGTGCCCTAGCCAGCGAAGTCTAGTTATTTGAATTCGGTGTGCCAGCAGGTTTATACCTGATAGACTCCCAAACACACGACAGCTTACCTCCACGTTACTAACCCGTTCGCTCCATCCAACATGGGCTAAACTACATAAACACCGATAATCGAAAACTTCCAGTAGACGGAGATCGTCTACTCGCAAATTCAGGGTCCCACAACCATAAATCAGGACTGAACGAACGCTAGCACAATATACACGATCTTTCAACTTCAGTGAAACGTCGCGTCTACGCCAGAGGTGTTTCAGTCCAGCGTATGCTGCTCGAGCCTTGGAACTACGGGGATTATCTCTTTTGCTGCGTAACCGTCATTAGTCATGCGACTACCTAAGTATGAAAAGTAATTCATCATAACTAAATCCTGACCATTTAGTTTTGGAGCGGGAGTGGAGGAAACCCAGTCCTGCAGCATACACATACCAAATGTGGCTACTGCTCTTGTTAATCTATCAAATGCGCTTTGCACGTCCCCATACATTCAAACAGACAGACGATATCATCGGCATACTCCAAATCGCACAGCTTTTCTCCAGCTGCCCATTCAATACGCACGCTTTGAAATCCACTTAGTGCGTCCTCCAATATTTCATCTACGACGAAATTGACCAGGAACGGCGAAAGAGGGTACCCTTAACGAACGGCCTACTTAGATTGTTGTAAACCCTTACACGACCGGAGGTCTGTGAGTACAGTGACCTCAGTAGGTTAACGTACTTCTGTTGCATTCCTTTTCGAAGAAGGGAGCCCATCAGAGCTTCGCGGTCAACTGAGTCGAAGGCTCCTTTCAGATCAAGGAATACTGCGATCGTTGGCCGACGGTGGGTGTGACGCAGCTCAAGGACCTGACGCAACGTTAAAATTTTATCAATACATCCACGGCCAGGCCGGAATCCGGCTTGCTGTTCACGGATGTTGGTCACTCTTAAAGGCGTCAGACGTCGAAGTATAACCGAAGCTAGCACTTTGGTGATAATCGGGATCAAACTGATCCCGCGGTGGTTTTCGCAATTGTTGCGAGATCCTTTCTTGAAAATGGTAACGATCAGTGACTCGCCTCAAGATGAAGGAAAGTGTCCTTGCATCCAAATGTTGTGCAGTAAGGTAGTAATAGAGCTCACAAGGTCATCAGCCCCCCCCCCCCATCTTGAAAAGAGTGGGAGGGAGCTAATCGGATCCTGCTGCCTTTCCTCGCTTCAGAGCTTGAATGCAAGACCGAACTTCTGCTTTCGTTGGAGGATCGCATGACACTGCCCACGGAGTTTCAGTTGCAGACGAAAGTAGTCTGGTTAGTAGTAGGCCAACTGAACTGTTCATTGAAGTATTCTGCCCAGCGATCGAGTCGTTGATCCCTATTGTGAACAGCTTGAACCCTCTTATCTCAGACTGTTTCACTAACTGGAGTTCGCCGACCTCCCGTATTACGTATCATTCGGAACAGTTCCCTGATGCAGCCGCTACTTCCATTTAACTAGTTATTGTTGCCCATCAGTTCTCACGGTCCTTCTTGAGGCTCTTAGTGAGCTGGTGGCTTTATTATTAGCTTGTCATAGAGCGCTGACCTGTGGGTGCATGCTAGAGAATTTCTGGATTTCTGTATCACTGTCGTAACCTCGATTGGTGGCACCCAAACCCGAGCATACCCATGTGGGTTGAATCCTGTGCAAGTCAAACTCATTCCGAACAACCAGAGGCTCGTGTAAGAAGTATAATTCACGGATTTGTCTTCCAGCATTCGACAGCCGTTTTTTCCGTAACCCTTTTAAAATGTGATTCATTCAACCATATTTTACTCTCGGAGATATCGTCTGAACACAGGTTACTGCTAAATCATCTGAGTAAGCAGTATGAAGATGGGAGTTTTTCAAGACATGCAACTTTCCAACATCAGAAGTCTCCTAGTTTGCGTGCTGTTTGGGTAGGGTCTTATAAAATATGGGAGAATTTAGTAGAAAAACCACTGTAGGTTTGAGTGTAATTGTATTCATTAGATTGAACTGCTTTTCCACCGGTATACAAATATTCATGGTGTACAGTTAACTGTTCATAGTTTAGCCATGATGTAAAAACAGAAAAGGTGTTCATTTCATTTGAATAACGGAGGATTTGGTTCAATTTCAAAGGGGAAATTCGTCGTGTATATGTCAATTGAAGCGTGAACTGAAAAGGTTCGCACTGCTGATGAGACTCAACCAAGTCGAAATAGCTGTCCATTACTTCCTAGCTTTTCATTTCACAATTCACTTGATATATATATACGACGAATATCCCCTTTGAAAATTGTTTATGTAAAATAAGAAAAACAGTGCTTTCATCTTTTTCGTTTTCTTGATTGTCATTTTTACGTAAAAGGTTAGCAGTCTCTCCAAAACACAACAGGCCAATTCTCACTCCCATGTTGCCACATGGCACGCTGAACGCGTGAACACAAAAGCAATCAAAGACATCATCGTCTCCCCTTTGTCTTCCTCGATGTTTCCCTCCTTTCTTTCAGACACTACCAGCAAGCGTATGCGCACTTGTTGGAACAGCGCATGATTGATATTCACATGTTGGAGATGAAGACGATAGCTGGTTTCATCAATTACAAGGTTCGTTTCCCTTTATTTTACCCTGTTAGTCTTGTTCTCATTCCTTCTCACGCACGGCGTCTTCGATTAATACCACCCAATCTATATTCATTAGATTAGACGCAAACAAATGATAGTCATATCCATTTTTTCTCCTTCCACTTGCGTTGCCACAGTCTGTCGAGGTCGTCCGTTAACCAACACAGTACTGAATATTCACTAATTGCGATATTTTGGGCTGATATTTGGCTTATCTCCACACAAACATCCTCGGTTCCCGGAGGCAAGTGGGAATTAAAAAGAACCAGAGGCAGTTAGACCACGGCTTAACAATGAGCTATGAAAGCCATGGCTGATCAAAGGATTGGGGTCGAAATCGGAGCCTTTGGCATTTGGTAGACTTATCACTCAAGCTAATGATGCTTTTAATATTCTTAACGAGCTAAATAATGCCTGTATTGATGCTAAATCATTGAGAGGTTGTCTCTGTTAAAATTGTATTATTATTTTTACACTTTTTGTTGCTTTATAAAAATTGAAACAAAATTTCCATGTTTTGAAAAGCCCATGGAAAACCAGCGGCACACACTTTCGGTGTACTTTCTTTTTTGTTCTGCCTTAGTTAACTAAGTAAACGATCATACGGTGAAGCAAGTAGTCCGTATACTTGTAGGAAGTATATGCGTAGCCAGACTGTCGATCACTGGGCCAACGAAACCCGCAAATGCACTGAGTGGTTTAATGGGTAGAGCAACCTTCTGATAACCGTATTTAGAACCTGACTACTGATATTCATTAAGTAGTCCAATTGCAATACCGAATGAGTCCGCAAGTTCAGGTGAACCGCGTACAAGAAAATCTGCTCAGCCGGATAGACCGAAGTCAAGCGCCATTGGTGTTAGTGTAGCATGTGGGTGTATCCACTGAAAGGCGTTCGTTTGTCACATGGATTATTCAAACATTTAATGACATGTACGTGTGCGTGTGTTCGTTCGCATTAAGCTTTCCAAATCAAACAAAGCATTATCTCTCCTCCACCATCGTACAGTGAAATATAGTAGAGCGAATTTTACTCATCACTGCCAAGTTCACAAAGTGCGAAAGTACGAGATGAATGGGGTTGGGTGCTAATTGGAGTGAGAAAAATAAAGTAAATGTATATATTCAACACAGAGTACACGACCTAACTGTGCATACGTACCTTTTCAAACATTCTGGCCTGATCTGATTTGACGGCAAGAGCTTCACTGCTCTTGATTCGTTGCCATATCCTTCGGTATCTCCAACCAAACAGTTACAATTATCTTTCGGATCCCAACCTGGAAGACCAGAGGCATCTACTCCACCTATTTGATTGGTGCACTTCTTCATGCCTCGTCTCCACGTCATCTGTTGACCTCCACGTTGTTTCCTCCAGCTTGGAGCGGCTACAGCAAATTAGGCACGATGTGGCAGATGACAACTGGATATGGGAAATTAGTGTCCCAACCGACGAAGTCTACTAATCTGAATCCCATTTGATAGGGTGGTGGTGGTGCAATGGGTCAGTCGCTGTCACCGGCGTGATTTGGACCCCATAGTCCGAGGTTCCACCCCCGCCACCGCCACCCACCTTTAGTGGTAGGCAGCTCTGCTGTCGCCCGGTTCAATACCACGCCTAACCTAGCGGGACCTTATGTGATTTGCCACTCTAAGTCCCGGGGCTTAGGTTACCGGTTTCCGTGGCTAAACAGCAGGTCCTCGTGACTATGTGGTTCACCCCGTCTACTGCTCATCACACTGAGGTGTGTTATAAAAAAGGTCGAATTCTCCACTGACTGAATACCAAATACGCGACAGCCCACCTCAGAGTTGTTTACACGCTCGAACCATCTTATGTGCGCCAAATTACGTAAATAACGATGAGTGTCCTCCACCTGCAAACTTAGAATCTCGCAACCGTAAAGTAGAACTGACCGCGCAGTGGAACAGTATACGCGATCTTTCAGCTCCGAGGAAACACCACGTTGGTGCTAAAGCTGTTTCAGTCTTGTAAACGCTGCTCGTGTCTTGCGAATGCGAGTGGTTGCTTCCTTTACTATTCTACCGTCGTTTATCGTACAATTATGTAAGTAGGAGAAGCAACCCACTATAACGAATTCTTGACCATCAAGCATCAGAGACGAGGTAGATGACACCCAGTCTTGCGGGATTACTTTTCACTTTGAAGGTGCACAGTTCATACCTAATGGCGTTACAGAACTTGAGAGTCTGTCAAGAGCGCTTTGCGCATCCTCCATACATTCGAAAAAACAAACGATGTCGTCAACTTATTCCAAGGCGCACAGTTTTTTTCTACAGCTGCCCGTTCTATACCAACATTTCGTAGACCACTAAGTGCGTTCTATAATATCTCGCTTACGAAGAAATTGAATAGGAATGAGGAAGTAGGGCACCCTTGATGAATACTGCTACTGGTTTCAAACGATTTGCCTAGCCCTCCGTAGACTCCTTCACTACCGGTAGTATGCAGGTACAGTGATCGCAGTATGTCGACATACTTCTATGACATCCCTTTGCGGAGCAGAGGACCTATTAGGGCTTCACATCCACTGAATCGAAGGCTCCTACCATCGTTGGTTGATAATGTGTGGCGTAATTCGAGGGTGAAAATTTGATCGATGCAACCGCGACCTGGTCGGAATCCTGCTTGCTGTTCGCGAATATTCATCTCTCTTAGGGTTGTCAAGCGGTGGAGTATCACAGAAGTTAACACTTTTGTGATCGGAACTGAACCTATCCCGCGGTAGTTTGCACAGTAGTTGCGGGATCCCTTCTTGAAGATCGAAGCGATCGACGCTTCACCCCAGGATAAAGGGATACGCTCTTCCTACCAAATGCGGTGTCGTAAACTAGTTATAGTAGTCGATAAAAGACGAAATCACCTCTCTAGCTTGAAAACATTGGAGAGAAGCTCGTCTTTTCCCGCTGCCTTCCCTTTATTTAGCGAGTGAATACAGCCTTTTACTTCTAAATCCGTTGGAAGCTCGCATGTTACCGCCCTGCAGAGTTTTCACTGCAGTCATCGGGATAACCGCACTAGCACCAGACCAGTTGAACTGTTCACTAAAATACTCTGCCCGGCGATCCATTGGTTCTTTGTGTGGATACTCTGTCCAATCTTATCTCAAATACGTTCGCTACCTGGTAGGCGACGACCTCCAGTGCTGCGTATCAAGTGAAGAAGTCTTCGTACATTATTTGATGCAGAAGCTACTTCCATTTCGCCAGCTATCTTGACCCACCAGTTTTCGCGATCATTCTCAAGGCTTTTTCTTAACTGACGTAGGCGCCATCGGCGTGTTAAAATGACCTGCGAACACTATAATATCAGAGCTGCGGCTCACCCAAATGATTTCGGTGGGCTTGTCGTAAAATTCGTGCTATTGTGAATTGGGACTGCAATCGGTTGATGTATATGCTGAGATAAAGAATAAAAACATTTTGGTGTTGCTTCCATTCCGAACACTAGCTGAACCCTAAAGCCTCATTACTCACAACGAACTATTGTCGAGCATTCAATCTATCACTGAGGCCTCAGCTTTATCGCTTAGTACGACTCCTGCACCAAGCTGACCCAATGAGCAGACTTCATCGTCCCCTAATATGCGAAGGAAATACCTGGAGAACACATCCGGCACGCTTATCCTTCTTATAGTACTAGTGTTGTGAGGTACTACTCACATTTGTGAGTAGCATGCAAAATAATACGGTTGGTGGTTTCCTTCAACGATCAAAAATTAACAAGACCACTGGGAGCAAACCGCTATGTCACAAAGAATAACTACGGACTGCTCCATTCATTAACTTATGGTCTGCCGGGAATGGCGATGACGTGTTTCAAATGAGTTAATATCCTAACTGTAATGAGCAATAAACAGCTTCCCTCGACTAAGCATCGTCTTGCGGAATTATGACACTAGGATCCTGAATTCGTGTCTCGGAATCGCAGTGGACATCAGTTTCAAATGCGTTCATTGTACGCGCAAGACACGCTTGTTGACCCGCCTGCATCAGCGTCTCCACGCTAAAGGCCCCTGGATTTAGAGGTTGATTCGGTCATGCCTTTGTGCATGCTTGTCCATCGTTTTCCTCTCTGTGCTCTCGTGCGCACTGAAAAAGGCTGAGAGAAGCGATGCGATGCCTAAACCATGACTTGGCGTTGAGGTATAGAAAAGTAGCCTCAGCCTTTGCTTCGTTCGGTGCTGTCCGTCTCCCAGATTGGGACCCAAGAAACGTGGATTATCATTGGTTAGAGACGCTGAATGGTATGAATCAGAATAGAAATGAATTGTGTGAATGTTGCACGGTCTACTTACTGAAATATCATGTCGAGTTCAGGATAAACGAAGAGAAAATCAGTGTTGTTATTCTCTGTAATCTGTTTTCCCTCATTTCCCCCAAATTATTCATTTTCTTTATTGTCACTTTGTCACCACGGTTGTGCTCAACCAGTGAAAAACATAAGTATATATTCTGCTCACGTTTTTGGGCATTGTTGCTGCTCGTCCGCGACCGCTTATTCACCACATCGTCATGGATAACCATTCAATCATCAATTTAATCTATTTACAAATGGGAGACGCCCGATACGGGATTTCCAAAATAACTGTACTGCACACCCCGCACTATGTGCTTGACAAGCTAATTATGCAACTTGCAAAGTATTCGGACCATGTTGTTTTCCTCACGCTGATGTCCCTCGAGCCCTTGTTTTCAGCAGATCACTACCATTGATGATAGGTGACCCAGATGAGTTCTAGATTTTATTTCGCCTATCTGATTGCGAACCTTTGTTTATCAGTAGTTCATTTGCCATAGTGTAACACGTTTCCGATACACTGTTTTCTTCGTTCTCTCTCCTGCCTCATTTTCCCGCTTTTTCATTTNCATTTTAAAATGACAGATTTGTCGCCTCGCTTTTCAAAGCAAGGCATCTGACGCCATTTCTCAATTCCGACGTCACATTGAATTTTTCTCAAATCTCGTCGGAATGCCTCAGGTTGCATTTGAGCATGAGGCTTGGATGTCTAAGCAGTAAGTCTTCAATCTCAGCTTGTATGTGCCATGGTCGTGTCTTTGTGTAATTGTCACGTTTCGTGACATTGATCTGTGCTCATCTGATGGGTCGAGCATATGTTGCAACAGTTCGACTCATTCTCATGTATGTTACAAAATATTGTGGTATTTAAACAAAAAAATCGGCGCAGACTACTGGTATTCGAGCACCACTGTCCATACAGCATTGTACGAATCTGGTGAGACAACCAGACAGTCAATGCCGATGTTTGAAGTTCGCAGTCGCGCACTGACACAAGTATTTAATCTTCATAGGTTGTGACGACTGTGGCTTTTGGTACGAATTTCCTTGGCTAGCCCATTTAGAGCCCTTGA